CCCCAAAACCCCAAAACCCCAAAACCCCTAAACATTGTTCAAATTTTGAATAAAAATTAAAGACAATAAATGGAACTTGCCATTTGTGGAATAATTATCAATGTCTGAGGTCTGATTTCAACTGCCCTTGGCTGGGCTCTCCAGAAGAAGGCTCACAATCAAATAAAGGGAACTAATGAGTCTTCTCTTAAAATCCCAAAGTGGTGGCTTGGTATGGGTCTAGTACTTCTAGCACAACCTCTCTATCTAGTTGCTATTACAATGACTAAAATTTCGATTCTTGGTGTCCTCGGTCCTATAGGAATCCTAGCCAGTATCATCCTGGCTAGAGTTTTCCTGGAAGAAAAGATTAGCACAGTGGAATACCTTGCAATGATTCTATTTATACCAGGTTCGATCATCACACTTTGTTTTTCTTCACTGGAAAATCATAGGTACAACAAGGAAGAATTCGACACCTTGTTCTATTCTTGCAGATCGTTGACTTATTTATTCATAAATTGCATTTTGATGTGTGTACTACTGCCAGTATGTCACTATATTCTAAAAATTGACCCATATGGTAAGAAAGTAACATATCATGAGCAGCTAGACGAGCCTCTTCAGGACTATTCTACTCGGACGCCTAGTTCAAATTCGAAAGATAGCTTCAAAACGAGCAGTTTTGGCAGTGTGAATCTTCACAATATATTTTCAGAAGAAAATGAAAAATGAAGGCCATTATTAACAAAATTATGTAAAAAGGACTCTTTCATGACCGTGTTATTCTCGAATCCGAGGCTGAGGTTCTTACCTCTTATCGTGTATCCATACTTTGGCCCATTTGTGTCCGGATTATCCATCACTTTTGCCAGAGTTCTATCAGGATTCTTCTCAACAGCTCCAGCTGAAGGCCATTCGTCTAATTTTGACACAATTGGACCTTGGATTTATATTATCTATGTTCCCTTAGGAGCGACATTTTCTTACTTTTTAGTCAATGAAGCATTAAAACATTATGATACAATCTACGTAGTGCCATTATTCAAGATTGGAGATCTGATGCATCATTTACTCAGTGGGGCAATTTTCCTTCAAGAATTCTATGATTACAGCTTAAAAGAATTGTTGTTATTTGTCCTAGGAGTCTTAATCTGAGCGACTGGAGTCTGACTCCTCCTCTTCAGCAACGATCAGAATGAAAAAGATAAGCTACGTAAATCTTCACTTGATGCTCCATATCTACTTGAGAGTAATATCTCTTCAAGCATTGAGCTCAGAAGGGATATAAAATAGGCTTAGGAATTTTAATTTCAATTGGCTCTTATATTTTGGGGTTTTGGGGTTTTGGGGTTTTGGGGTTTTGGGG